ACTCCTGTCTGTGTGTGATTCATTGCCTCTGTTCTCCATCTCTCGCCTGCTACCCATCCCTGACTATTCATTTTGAGTTAGAGACACCCTGTGCTTGTGAGAAAGACATTCAGCCCAATGGAAAGAAAGAGAGGGATGGACCCCAGTTCTAAATGACTTGGATGAGATTCTCAGGAGCATTTCTCCCAAGTCCTTATTCTATCCCACTGACTCACAACAGACGTGCCATAAATGAAGATGTATGCTCCATAGAAGATCTTGGAGTCTAAGGCAAATGAAATAACTTCACCCAATTAATTCAGGACAATTGGACTCAATACCATTAATATGTTTGGGTGTACAGCGGGGATATGTGGCCATTTGTCTAGTTCACTATTTGGAGGGTCATGCTTGGGTTGAAGGATTCCAACATTAGTTGGAGTCCTTCAACCCAAGCATTACCTTCCAAAGAGGCTTTGAAATTTTGCATGGATTCCAGTCTAGTGAAGGCAAGAAGATCAACCTCCTCTTGTTAGCTCAAAGTCAAGGAATCAATGGCTGGTTGGCCACTCATGGCCATCAGCAGCTTTTGTTGGCCTCACATTCCCCAAACCCTTCACAATTCCCCACAAAACGCTGCACTTCAATCCTGTATAGGTTTACTCATCAGTTCAATCCTATGGCATTCAACACCAACTCTCCCTGTGGAAGATTTAGAGCTTAATTTGCTCTTCCAAACCTCAACCCAAACAGTTAAAACCCAAGGAGATTGCTGCTCAATGTCTGGATGATTTCCAAAGTCGACTACCAGAAAGGCACCATTTTATGCTGAGTGTCCAGCTGAACTCCCATGGATTTTGCAAGAGAAAACCCACAGCCAGGGAAAGCATGGGTTTCTCTTGGTGTATGCAAACCAGCAGTGCAAAATGCAGGGTTGTTCAGACATCCTGAATACCTACATTGTGACTGTTTAGGGAGGACTACAGGTATTTAACCCCAGCTCATAGGGATGGGAGGAGAAAAACCATTTCTTATGCTGTTCATATTCCGGTTGCTTTTTCCTCAGCTGTAAATCTAATCCACTCAGCCCCCTTATTTTTAGCGCACTGCCAGCATTATATTTTTCTGAATCCTTGCATTTGGGATTACTCAAATACCCTGACATTTAACGGTCTTGGCAATAAACAAAGAAATACATAAATCTCTCTGGCTCTATCTCACTGGTATTTTTCCAAAGTTCCTTTTCAGAAGGATGGGTCACCATCCAGTTCTTGAGGAGCAGACACAGTTTTGACTCTCTAAAACACAATTGGGACCAGGACCTCCCTTCGCCCAAGGAATCTAGGCCATAATGGACACCCAAATCTCCACTCTGAACTTAGAAAACACCCAAACACAGCTGTATTTTCCATGAAGATTAGAAGCATGGCCTTTGAAGGAACCACTTAAAGTCTTGGTGGTTTATGGAAACAGCCCAATTATTTTCTTTCACTCTTAAAACCCAGCTGTTTCACAAACCTGTTGAGTAGAATCTGAGCACTTTGTTGGGCACCTGCCCATTGGAATCCCATATACCTAATTCTCACATGGGGTTTACTTCCTGGGGTAACCTTCTGCTGCTTTACATGGGAGTAAGCAATCTTCTTCCCTGAATTGATTATTTTGATGGGAAAGGTACCACATCAAGTTCAACCTTGAAAGAGAACTGGGAAAAGGCAGGGACTTGGAGGGTAGTCTTGGAAAGGTAGAGGAGGGAAGAGGAAGTGGCCCTGATCCAGGTGAATATGGATCCACCAACACCTCCTATGGTAGACTTCCCAAGGGGATCCCATTCATGACCACTTGAAGGACAGCTTTCTCTTTTCCTTGAGATTTGGGTGGGTGGAAGAGGCATATATAAGGATTCAGTACGTGATCCACAAACCCATTGAGCCAAAGCCAGGGGCTGGATGATGACTTCAGTCAAAGCTATAGCTGTGTCCCCCAAGTCTTTACATGGGAGTAAGCAATCTTCTTCCCTGAATTGATTATTTCTATGGGAAAGGTACCACATCAAGTCCATCCTTGAAGGAGAACTGGGAAAAGGCAGGGACTTGGAGGGTAGTCTTGGAAAGGTAGAGGAGGGAAGGGGAAATGGCCCTTATCCAGGTGAATATGGATCCGCCAACACCTCCTATGGTAGACTTTTCAAGGGGATTCAGTATGGGATCCATAAACCCATTGAGACAAAGCCTTGGGGCGTGATGATGTCTCCAGTCAAAGCTATAGCTGTGTCCCCCAAGTCGTTACATGGAAGTAAGCAATCTTCTTCCCTGAATTGATTATTTCTATGGGAAAGGTACCACATCAAGTCCATCCTTGAAGGAGAACTGGGAAAAGGCAGGGGCTTGGAGGGTAGTCTTGGAAAGATAGAGGAGGGAAGAGGAAATGGTTCTGATCCAGGTGAATATGGATCCACCAACACCTCCTATGGTAGACTTCCCAAGGACACCTTTCTCTTTTCCTTGAGATTTGGATGGGTGTAAGAGGCACATATAAGGATTCAGTACGGGATCCATATACCCATTGAGACAAAGCCATGGTCTCAATTGGGCTGAGTGATGTCTCCAGGCAAAGCTATAGCTGTGTCCCCTAAGTCTTCTGATTTAGCTGAGCAATTGATGGCTACTCCAAAGGCAAGTTGGAGGTTTTGCCTGCCAATATTCCCCAGAGAGATGCCTTTGTCAGGAGCCCAACATGGAGATGGGAGAGAAGATCTCTTCCTTCCTTCCCTACCTTCCTACTTTCTCAGTTTCTTCCTCTTCCGCTTCACTATGCGACTCCATGAGAATGAGGGGCCAGTCCTAAGGGAGCCACTCCTAAACCTGGGGGAAACCACAAGCGAGAACCTCCAAAATAGCAGTGATGGTAGCTATGATCTTCTCTCCACCCTTTTCAGGTGGAAATGCAACCCTTCAACAGGTATAGAGGAGAGGAGGGGAGGTGTAAGCCTTTCCCAATTCTTAAAAAGAGAGCAGGGGCTTGGGATTCTCTCCCATCTCCTTCCCAAGAAGGGGAGAGGAAGGAGGAGGGAAGCTTGCAGCATCTGGCCAGAGAAAGGAGCGCTTTCTCTCTTCCTTGGAGCAAGAACTCCTTGCTGGAGGCAATGGTCTCCATGGAGCTGCTGAAGAATCGCTCTCTTTTTATTATTATTGATTCCCGAAGGGAGGCGCGCAGCTTTGCAAGAAGCCAGCTGCGTTTAGACCCTTCTGGGCACACCTTCGCTTCCCTCCCAAAATCCCTCTCAAAAAGAAGCGCCCTTCCCCTCTTTGACCTTGCTTTGATATTCAAGAGTTGGCCCTCTTCCCTGCCAAGATGCTGGGGGGCAAAGAAGACCGAAGGGTTGGTGGTATCTGACCCTAAAATGCCCTCCCTCCCTTCACATCTCTCCCATCCCAGACACCAAAAAACCAAGTCCTGCTGAGAGTGAGGTTGGACATCCCAGGAATGGGAGAGGTTTCGCCCCCTGAAGCCATGGGGAAAGTGGGCACACGAGGAAATGGGGCAGCTCAATGCCCTTCTCTATCAGTTTCCTCCTCTGCATAGAGGGGCAGTCATATCTTTGCTGGTCAAAATAATATCCAGACAATCCCCTAAGCTCAATACCTCCCTTCCCAGAGGAATCCGTTAAATGCCTATAACATCAAACCAGAGCCTGTCTATGCGCCCCTGCGCTTGTCTGGGCAAAAATGGCTTTCTTGGTGGAGCATGGCAGCTCTAGCTTCCATAGGACATCCTGGGGGATCAATGGGACTCCTTGGGAGTAAACTTGATTGGCTTGAAAACGGGTGCCTTTGGGAGAAGGCATCTCTGGTGGCTTCCTTGAGGGTCTGCTTCCCAAAGTGCCTGAACTGGGTGGTGCTTCTAGTATGCTCCTTGTCAGGTGCCTGTGGGATGAAGCCCCCAGAAAGAAAAGAAAGGGGGGCTTCAATACTTCCCTTCCTAGAGAAATCCGTTAAATGCCTACAACATAAAACCAGAGCCTGTCTATGTGCCCCTGCGCTTGTCTGGGCAGAAATGGCTTTCTTGGTGGAGCATGGCAACTCTAGTTTCCATAAGACGTCCTAGGAGATCAGTGGGACTCCTTGGGAGTAAGTTCATTGGCTTGAGAACGGGAGCCTTTGGGAGAAGGCATCTCTGGTGGCTTCCTTGAGGGTCTGCTTCCCAGAGTGCCCGGACTGGGTGGTTCCTCTAGTATGCTCCCTATCAAGTGTCTGTGGGATGAAGCCCCCAGAAAGAAAAGGAAAGGGCAACTTTTATGTGGGGGGGGGGGGTGTCAAAAATTGATGTGTCTGGCCTCTTTCCCCTCCATCTCTCCTAAGAAATATTTGAACAAGTGTGGAGATCGGAAACCGGGGGAACTGATAGAAAGGAGATTCGCCCAACCCGAGTGCTCACTCCGGGGTTTACTCAGGAGTAGATGCCACTGGAGTCCAAGTGGCCCCTTCCCAGATGCAGGGAACCCTCTAAGGTTAGACCCGAAAGCTTTGTATTTGAGTCCAAGTCAAGGTATGATGGAAGATTGTTTGGGTTGGTTTTCCAACTGGGCATTTCTGGTAGGGTGGGAAGGTCTAGCTTTCCCGTTTCCCCATCTTTCCCCTTCTGTGGGTTTTAGAAGGTCTGTCCTCGGAGAGTGGACCCTTCCCTCCCCATTCCCAAACTCTCCTTCCCTCTTTCATCTCACCAAAAACCCAAGCCAGACACTTCCAGAGAGGCTCCGAAACAACTAGATTTCCTTTCCCGAAGTTCGAACCGAGATGCCGGAATATATTTATATGTATTTTGACAGTGATGGATTGAAGACCGAGGAGGAACTGAGTGGAAACTCCCGTCAGAAGGGAAAAACACATTCCCACCTCTCCCGAGGATATTCCAAGGCGCTCTTATGGGGCAACCCTTCGTTCCCCTCCCGCTCAAGTTGGACCCGCCACGGAATCCACGCCCAAAGAATCCAAATCACGACCAGGAGGGTCTCCTCTTACCTTGCTCTCAGGCGCCTCCGGGGAATTATCTCCTCCTTTCCCCCAGTTGGATCCAATTCCAAATGGAAACCATCCACAAACCCAGAAGTAAGAAAATGGCCATTGGCGAAGGGAAGAAGAAGAAGGGAGGTCAATCAATCCGCTTGCCTTCTTTCGCTCTCTCTCTTTCCCAATCCACGCGTGGAAATCAGGAGAGAATAGTCCGAGCGGGAAGAAGAAAAGGGGTCAATCCGCTTGCCTTTTCTCTCTCTCCCCCTTTCCCTATACACGCGTGGAAATCAGGAGAATAGTCCAGGCGGGAAGAAGAAGAAGGGAGGTCAATCCGCTTGAATTTTCTCTCTCTCCCTTTCCAATCCACGCGTGGAAATCGGAATAGTCCGAGCGGGAAGAAGAAGGGAGGTCAATCCCCTTGATTTTTTCTCTCCCCCTTTCCCTATACACGCGTGGAAATCAGGAGAGAATAGTCCGAGCGGGAAGAAGAAAAGGGGTCAATCCGCTTGCCTTTTCTCTCTCTCCCCCTTTCCCTATACACGCGTGGAAATCAGGAGAATAGTCCAGGCGGGAAGAAGAAGAAGGGAGGTCAATCCGCTTGAATTTTCTCTCTCTCCCTTTCCCAATCCACGCGTGGGAATCAGGAGAGGATAGTCCGAGTGGGAAGAAGAAGAAGGGAGGTCAATCCGCTTGAATTTTTTCTCTCTCCCTTTCCCAATCCACGCGTGGAAATCAGGAGAGGATAAAACCCCGGCATGAAGGGAAGGCAAAGCCAAGGAAACTTTGTCCCCGAAGGCTTCCTTGGGTGTTGGACTGGAGAGGCAAAAACGGGGGGTGAATTGGAGGGCTGGGAAGTGGGGATGAGGATGAGGGGAGAAGAGGAAGGGTGGGCTCTTGAGCAAAAGGAGAGGAAGCGTCCCTGAATTGGGGGTGATTAGATCCAGGAGGCAAACTGAGGCAGAAGCTGATTTCCCCTCTTCCTTCCGGAGCCAAGATCCATCCAAGGTTGGTCCAAAAAAAAATCAGAATCCCTCTTCCTCCTCCTCCTCTTCTTCCTTTTCCCCCTCAGTTCCGCCTTCCCTGCCTCTTTCCTTCCTCCCCAGTTGTCACTGGACGCGGGTCTGTGTAGCCGGAGGCTGCATTCAGGATTACATCAGGCTTTTATAAGCTTTCCTGCTCACACGTTCGCGAGAGAGAGAGAGGGGGGGGGAGAGGGAAGGCTTGGAAAGGAAGGAAGGAGGGAGGGATGGAGAGAAGGAGGGGTGGAGGAGAGAGGAAGGCGGCCAGGAGAGAGCTCTCTCTTCCTCTCTCTTCCTCCCTCGCTGTGTGAATGAGTCGCGTTGGGCGAGGAAACCCGGAGCCCCGTCTCCCTGCGTAAAAAGCGCCTTTGTGGGTTGGCCTCGCGCGACTATTTCTTCGCCACCAAAATAATAAACGAGCGAGCCAGCAGTAAGTATGTACCAGAGGGAGGAGAGAGGGGGAAAAAGCCTTCTCTAGATTGCTTCCCACCCGGAGAGAACTTTATTGCAACCCAGAGAGAGAAAGAAAGAGGCGACGGAAGAGAAGAGGAAGGGGAAGAGAGGGAAGGGGGCAGACAGTCACACGCACACACTCATGCACACGTTAGTAACGTTACACGTTAACTACACACTCATCTTGGCACCGAGGCACAAGCTGGAAGGCTCATCCTCAGCTCAGGGCATCTCCATCCTCTCCAGATTGCAGGGAAGGAAAAAAGGGGGGAAGGAAGGAAGGAAAAGGGGGAAACCAGGGATGTGTGTGTGTGGGGGGGGGGGGAGAGTTCTCCGCAGCCGGTGGCGAGAAGAGGAAGAGGAGGAGGAGGAAAAGAGAGGAAGGAGCTGGGTTGGGGGCGATGCAGAGGCGAAGAAGAGGAAGGATGGATGGAGGATGGAGGCGAGGGCGCACGGCTCGGCACCCTGCCTCGCTCCGGATGCCTTTGGAAAGCGCAAAGACTAAGATCGAGGCTTGGATATTTGGAATTAAACCTTGGTGAGGATGTGGGTAGCGAGGTAGGGGGCGTGGGACCCCCTCCGTGACCAGAAAGAGAGGCGTAACCCCCACGGAGCCGGAGAGGAGGAGGCGGGTGGGTTGCGCCTCGGAGCGGGTTTTGGAGAGGCAGCCAAGGCACAAAGAGAGGCTCCTTCCTGCCTCCGCTTCTCTGAAGACCCAGACCTTCCCTTCAAGGCCACGCAAACCCACTCGCCCCCCGAGGGAGAGACACGCCACCCACGGGGTCCCTTGCCCACCATCGCCTCTCACCCTGCTTGCCACTCGTGGCTTGCTTCATCCCTCTCCAAATGGGATCTATGCCAGGCATCCTCAGAGGTTGTCAGGTCTGTTGGAAACTAGGCAAGTGAGAATGTATTGTCCAAGGCTTTCATGGCCGGAATCACTGGGTTGCTGTGAGTTTTCCGGGCTGTCTGGCCATATTTCAGAAGCATTCTCTCCTGACGTTTCTTCCAATCTATGCCAGGCATCCTCAGAGGTTGTGAGGTCTTTTGGAAACTAGGCAAGTGAGAATGTATTGTCGAAGGCTTTCATGGCCGGAATAACTGGGTTGCTGTGCGTTTTCCTGGCTGTCTGGTCATGTTTATATGTCTGTGGAATAATGTTCAAAGTGGGAGAAAAATCTCTTGTCAAGTGTGAATGCTGCAACTGCCCACCTTGATTAGCATTGAATGGCCTCGCAGCTTCAAAGCCTGGCCATTGCTGCCTACACAATCATAGAATCATAGAATCCTAGAGTTGGAAGATACCTCATGGGCCATCCGGTCCAACCCCCTGCCAAGAAGCAGGAATATTGCATTCAAATCACCCCTGACAGATGGCCATCCAGCCTCTGTTTAAAAGCTTCCAAAGAAGGAGCCTCCACCACACTCCAGGGCAGAGAGTTCCACTGCTGAACAGCTCTCACAGTCAGGAAGTTCTTCCTCATGTTTGGAGGCATTAGCTGGGCCTGATTGATTCATGTCTGGAATTCCCCTGCTTTTTGAATTTTGCTTTGTACTTACTGTCCTGATTTTAGAGGTTTTTTAAAATACTGATAGCCTGATTTTGTTCATTTTCATGGTTTCCTCCTTTCTGTTGGAATTGTCCACATGCTTACAGATTTCAATGACTCCTCTGTGTTGTTTGGCATGGTGGTTGTTAGAGTGGTTACTTCTTCAGAGGAGAGCAATGACCAATCTCAATAAAATAGTGAAGAGTAGACACATCACACTGGCAACAAAGATCCGCCTAGTCAAAGCCATGGTATTCCCTGTAGTAACCTACGGATGTGAGAGCTGGACCTTAGAAGGAAGGCTGAGCGAAGGAAGATCGATGCTTTTGAGCTGTGGTGTTGGAGGAAAGTTCTGAGAGTGCCTTGGACTGCGAGAAGATCCAACCAGTCCATCCTCCAGGAAATAAAGCCCGACTGCTCACTGGAGGGAAGGAGACTAGAGACAAAGTTGAAGTCCTTTGGCCACATCATGAGAAGATGGGAAAGCTTGGAGAAGACAACGATGCTGGGGAAAATGGAAGGAAAAGGTGGTTAAATCAGGGCCCCAAATTTTTTGTGGCCCCCCTGAGACTTATCTTCTTCCTCTCTAATGTACATTAAAATAAACCCTATTGATTCCTACAGGTTATCTCTCACTTTGACTCACAAATGTTTGGAATATCAGCCTGTGGATGGATGGTGTGTCCCTGTGTCAAAGGGGCAAAGATGAAGCTGTCTAAGAACAATATTTGCTTTCTGATTTTTGAGAGGTCGAGAGGCTCAAAGGCCCAAAACTGATCATCAGTCCCAATTAGAGAATCAATTCTGAGGGGTTAGCCTCCACGTTGGCACGGATGTATAGAATTCAGGTGAGTATGACCTATCAAAGGCAGTGGAAAGTGGCAATCTAAAAGAATTCCCAACCCAGGATTAGGTCTGGAGGAGTGGAACTACAAAACCCATCACCCAAAGATAATTGACTGTATATATTGGGGTTTGAGTTACCTACATGCAAAATATACACAGTAGCAGGGAATGTTAAATTGGTTAAAGAGGAAGAAGAGAAGAAAAGAGATTCTCAAGAGATTCTCATCATCATCAGTTGAGCACCCCTAATCCACTTTGATAGGGGATACCCCTTCTGGAGCAATTTCAGTCTCCTTCAGGAGAGAGAAAGCAGGGCAATAATAATAATAATAATAATAATAATAATAATAATAATAATAATAATAATGGAACTCTGAAAAAGGAGACAGAGGGCCTGATTCTGGCAGCCCGAGAACAAGCCATTTGAACTAATGCCAACAAAGCCAGAATTGAAAAGTCGACAACAGATCCCAAATGTAGACTCTGCAAGGAAGCAGATGAAACAATAGATCACATCCTCAGCTGCTGCAAAAAGATCTCACAGACAGACTACAAGCAAAGGCACAACACCGTTGCTCAGATGATTCATTGGAACTTGTGCCACAAATCCCATCTGCCTGCAACAAAGAACTGGTGGGATCACAAGCCGGAAAAAGTTACAGAGAATGAACACGTCAAACTCCTTTGGGACTTCTGGATTCAGACAGAGTTTTGGAGCATAATACTCCTGACCTCACAATCGTGTTAAAAAACAAGGTATGGATCGTTGATGTCACAATCCCAGCTGACAGCTGGATTGGAGAAACAACTGGAAAAGCAGACATGATATGAGGATTTAAAAATTGAACTGCAAAGACTCTGGCACAAACCTGTCAAGGTGGTCCCAGTGGTGATGGGCACACTGGATGCAGTGCCTAAAGACCTTGGCCTGCACTTAAACACAATCGGTGCTGACAAAATTACCATCTGCCAGCTGCAAAAGGCCACCCTACTGGGATCTGAATGCATTATTTGCCAGTATATCACACAGTCCTAGATACTTGGGAAGTGTCCGACGTGTGATCCAATTCAACAGCCAGCAGAGTGATCTTGTCTGCTGTGGACTCACCTTGTGTTTCAAATAATAATAATTCAAAATGTTTAGAAGTAAAACTGTTTCGAATTTGGTTTTCCCCAGATTTTGAAATACTTGTACTTATATCATGAGGTATCTTGGAGATAGAACCCAAATTTAAACATAAAATGCATTTACATTTCATGTAAACATTATACACCCAACGCCAAGACCCTACACTTAGAAGGCAATCATACTCGGCCACAATGAAACACTCAACTTAAAGCTAATTTATAGA